TTTTCTGATAGTATCCAGGGCTCTTGATGACACTAATGGAAACAATGATTGTTCCTTGCGGTGGATATCACGGGAAGGTATAAGGAAGCCTGGGGTTCCAGGCAATTCCCTTTGACACTGTTAGGCGATCTACCTTAAAATGGAACCAAGTGGAGAGAATTCAATCCAAAAGAAATTACTTTATAGAATATATGACTTAACTACTGCTGAACCTGGGCTCCTTCACGACATTCTTCCTAAATTGTGATCTAACCCTTAATTTCCTTTGTTTTCCCCTTGTTAACTTTATTCCATTTCACCAACTGAGCATTCACTATTTGCCAGGCATTTGTCAGGCAGGGATAAAGAACACACAGGCTTTAGCATTGGGGAAGTTACAGCCAATCAGGGCAATCGATTCCATGTAATAATGCAGGACAGTCACGGTGCCGTGGCATGGAACTCAAAACTGAGTATATCAAGAAGGCTCTCTGAGAGAGATGGTAGTGCAGATGAGTATTAAATCCTCTGCACAAGGTGGTATCTACTTCTGCTTGCCTCAGACTCTATAGGACATTCTTTGTTTTGTGTTTTGCAATTTTCCCAATCATGCGACTATTTCATTACTCTTAGTGGCTTGATGTGGGTCTGGGGACCACAGCTCACCAGGTGGAGAAGTCAGGATATTCAGGGTGCAGAGAGGCATTCAGCTTGAAGATAATCACAGAGAAATGGACTTAGAAACCTAGCAGAAAGGATTATATTTCCTTAAGAATCAGAAGAATTGAGGAACAATTTTTGCTATGGGGCATAAAAGTAAAATAATGGTAAGAACAGATATTACATGGTAATATGAAAGAGACATAGGATGGATTGCATATAATTAAAAATGCTTAAAAATATATCATTATTATGTGATTGAATAGATTATAGATAAATTATATACTATATATGTGGTATATATTCTCTAAATGGAACATGTTATGAATATACAGAATTTATAGTATATATTGCACAAAGATAGCCAAATATAGTGCTATAGAAACTATACCATACAACAAAGTCTTTGTAAATACGGAGGAGGTAGAAGGCGTAAAGAGAGGGCATGGGAATGGGGAAAAAATAAGAACCAAGATACATCATGTAAAGGTACAAGATCCCAATGATGAAAATAATTGTATTGTATATCTAAATTATACCAATTAACTTAATGGGAAAAAAGTACAACATATAATACTTTATATATGACTATATTTATACACAAATAGAATTAAACATACTTCTCTTTTGTACAGTCACTCCTTGAAAAAATGGTAAGCACAAATTAGTGTACTGCTTTAGTGTTTTATTTATGGTGTCTAAAAGAAGATTCCAGATGTTCAGATATGACTGACTGTGCTATATCATATGTTAGCCACTATGTACCTGAAGTTTCTATGACTGAGAAAGTTACTTTTCAATTTAATTGATTCAAGTTTGAAGAGCTACATAGGGAATGGCTATCATGCTTCACATCAGAGCTCCAAAGTCTTGATCGAAGCAGAAAATTGAAAACACTAATCCCACATGGGCCTCATTGAGACTTATTTCCTTTGACCCGCGTAACACTAAAAATCAAAGCAGCGTTAACATTAAAAATAGACAGATTCTGAATAGTCACAATAGGTCGGTGCTGACACATGGTTACGACCATTTGGCAGGGAGTATCTGAGTTTCCAGTCATTAGTCAGTGTGTTCTTCTGCAGGCTCATCTCATTCAGTTTTGTTACTTGCTTATTCCCTACTGGTATTTATATAATTTCCTCTAGGTTAGCCCAAAAATGGTGTCTCTTTAAATGTTCCATGGAATCAGTAGCAACCATGGATCCTTCCACATGGAGTCTTTCAGCAAACATTGGGCATTTCTACACCAATGAATTATAGCAGAGAAATCCTTCCCATTTAAAAAGTACTAATACTTCCTCAGGGTAACCTCTTTTAGCACTCAGCAATTATGGCAGGGCTGAATACTAATTAACCTTTAACTATAGGCTTTAGGGTTCATGCAGGGAAATGTAAGATAAAGGATAAAATTCTCAATTAAACCCTATGACAAAGTAATTTCTCCTGAGCATTTCTGAACTTTTGGATTTCTAATGGTGGTCCATTAAGAGTTCTTTTTACCCAACGGAAAAATAATGACAAGATTTCTCATAGGTTGTTTGCCTCTGTCTATGAGACAGGCTCTGTGCTTTTAAAGGACACACTCTTTTTATAGGGCTCTTAACTTTTATTCTGCCTTTTCAGAAACATATTTAGGTTTCCTTTAAGTAGTGATTTTATATGGATCCCTAATTTCTTTCCTTGGCTGGCTATGTTCCTACTTGTTTATATTTATATACTATATTTTAAAAATATTTTCCTGACTTCATGTTTTAAAAAACCCCTATATGCTTCTTTAATATTATTAAGTTACTACGTTTTATAGTATTTATCTACAATGTCTAAAGGAGAGCAAAAATATAAGAATAAGCAAGCATATTTTTTTCCTGGATCATTTAAAAATAGTACAAACTATTATCTTGTTGACTATGGAAAAAAAAGAAAAAATAAAGGCCCAAAATAAAGGTGTTATCGCTTAAAGTGTTAAATACAACCTATACTATCCTATAGCAACTGGCACTGTTTTATTTCTCAAAAATAAAATATTTACAGACTTGTTTTTGTTCTAGGAAAGCCTAATATTTCCCAGAATGAAAACAGGTTCTCTTGTGTTTTCAAGGTCTCAATTTTCAGTGATTATAAACTTTTAGTTTAAGTGAAATTTTATATAGGTTAGAAATCTTAACTTCAGAAAATCTTTAAAGCTATAATGAAAATGTATGTTCTCTTTGGCTACAAATCAAGGATTTGAACAATACCTAGAACTCTACCTTTCTCTATTTATCCTCAGTCTTAAGATTAATAAATCCATAAGTCACATGCCTCCTACTCTCAGTTACAGATTTTTTAAAAACTGAAACATCCAAATGTCAGCATAACATCCCAAAGCATATAATAAAAAAGAAGTGTTATTGTACAAATGGCAAAATTTATTCATCAACTATTTATACATATAATTAATACATTTAAATACATACTCTATGGCATACAAAAATGCCTGGTATAAAAAGACATAATTGTAACACAAGGCTATTTGATAAAACTATACAAACATAATTAATCTACCCATTTAGAATTACATTTCCACAAAACTAAATTTTGCATCTTGATAATGACTCAGTAGAACATATGTATCACCAAATTATTTTAAGATAAATGCCAGGAAATACAACTCAACTGAAAACAGAAAAAGTACCCACACCTAAGTCATTCATGTGAATTCTTCATCATATTTATAGCCACATCTATGAGGACAATCTACTAGTGCAGAATGAAAGAAACAGAAGCATTTATAATGTTAGAAATTCTTAGAAAACTGTCACAATCCAGAATAGTATCATGTCAAATCAATATGTTCAAAATTCTCCAAAAGCAGAAAAAATTCTACATGTTGCATGTGCTTACACCTGACTACCTCATAAAATACAATTTTCTTGTTTTTTAAATGGTCAGGGATGCTATTCTTATATTTGTAGAGAGAAACAGAGGCAGAGAAAAAACTTCTCATCTCTGCTCACTCAGAGGAATAACTAGAAATTGTTATGATTATTATTGAAAGTACACAGAAAGTGCTCAGCAACCACGCTGTTAAAAGACATCTTGATGACTTTCAGATGCAAAAATACAAAGGTCTGCCTGCCAACGCAATCCTGGTCCAATTTAATAACGACTACTGGCTTCTATTACTTATATGGATAAAGAGAACGATCGCTGCTCAGTAAGGTCTAAATGCCTACACTTAACTTTCAGGAGTTTATTAATACAAGGTGAGGTTGATGTGTTCTATAGCTATAGAAAAGGTTGTGCCAACCAGGAATAGAGGAAACAGAGTTTTGCAGGGGATGCTCATGGTACTTAGATGTTCATGTTGTTGTGAAGGCACTTTGACCAGATTTTGCAGCCTCTTACATGAAAGCAGCACGTTATTTATATGTAATTCATCTCCTCATTTAAGAGGGTCACCTAAGAAAACCTAAAACTATTATGTAATCAAATAAATATTCATCACATTCAGATATTCTACCTCTAAAATACTAACATTTTAATTTTAAGATGATGAAAATTCAATTTTTATTTCTTTCTTCCTTACATCTTTGGGTAATATTTGAAGGTTTCAAGTGATTAGGTTCTTATTTACATAATCTTAAAAATATAGCCACATGTGCTGGTGCATGCCTATAATATCACAGCTTTGGGAGGCTGGGAAAGAATTACAAGTTCGAGGCCAGGCTGGACAACTGAATGATTTGGTGAGACCCTATTTGGAGGAAAAATTTATAAGGAGTTGGGAATGAGGCTCTGTGCAATGGCCATGGGTTCAATCCCTGGTACCAGAAAAGAAAAATAGATTGTTAAGGTGATTAAAAAAAAACCCTAATAAACTGATCATATTTTTTCTTCAAAATATAATTACATGACTTTAGTAAGAATATATTTCAATATTCCATACTGAATGAACCTCCAAATACGTATCCAGTAAAGTGGTACAGGAAGGAGGGAGGAACAATGAAGTATTGTTTAAACAATAATTTTAAATTACCTTTAAGACCCATTTAATTTTATCCCACAATGTACATGTTCCTGATAACTACATGTAAAAGCAGCTTTATGAATTTAATTGCCTTATAAATCAATGAAAAAAAGTGCATGCTTAAGAGATCTCACCATGTTGTTTAGACAAGAAATCATATCATAGTGAATAATCAATCAAATGCAGATTGTATGGATTCAAACATTCATGTAGTCAGATCTGTTGAACATATTATAGAACTACAGCTTCCTGTATTACTTCTTACTAATGGCACAAATACCTTGAAGCAAAAACATTTCACAACTGCTACATTTGTTTTCCATTTGCATTCTGAAACTTTGCACAGTACCTGTAATGAGGTGAAGGGTTGCCTCTCGCTTCACAGTTTAAAGTTATCTTTTTATCCTCTGAACCAACAGGGAAAATGCTGTTGCTGGGCTCTTTGATAAACACAGGTCCTTGTAAGAGAAGCTCACCTATGTGGGTAGGAGAAGTCAAAATAATTATGAGAATGAAAAAGCACTGTAAAAGCTGCATTCCAGAACTGAAGAAGAAAAACAAGCAACTAGTGTTTACTCTTGAAAATAATATTAGCCAGTGCTCCATTTACCCACCAAGTACCACACTCTGTAGATACTGCTTTGTTAGGGAGAAAGAAATTCAAGATAAAGACACACTGTCATATTAATAAGGTCAATTTAAGCCATAAAGAAGTTTGTACTTATACCAATACTACTTATAACAATACACTGTGCCTGCCTGTCCTTTAGTGAATAAAATATTGCAAGATGTCCTTTCTGTCATAAGCTTCCTAGGAAACCTAAAGCTGAAATCAAAATCCATTGAATCCCCGAGTATTATTTTTCTACAGAATCTGCTGAGCACACAAATCGTAACATTATTTTGCCATTTTGGAAGAAAAATACTCAATATCTGGTGGGATTTCCATTTTATTACTAGCAAACTGAAGAAAAAGATGCACCAATGAAGAAGCATCCTTCATAAAGTGTCCTGCTTTGGTTACAAGAACTTGGATATCCTCAAAAAGAATTTCCACATACACAGAAAAAAACAGAAATCTCTCTTATTGTTTTATGTGTCTGTAAAGGAGATAATGCTATCACCCAATGCTTTGCAACTGCAGTTGTATAATCATCGCCAGAACATTTGTAAAAATCAACAAATCTCTTTACTCTCCCTTCTTGGAATGCTCAGCAGAACTGCAGAGAAGTTTCCATTGAAGCAGAGAACGCATAAAATGAATAAACAGACACAGAAATGGATTTCATGAATAGTGAAACAAACAAACAAAAAACCAAGATCAGATAGCCCTGAAAGGCTCTGAAATTATGAACTTATATTTTGGCTACTTGAAATACCAATAACATTAATAAAAATAATTTTCTACAGCAACAGCAATATAAAATTGGCTATAATGTAAAGGAAATAATCACTGAAATGATGAAAATAGTAGGAGCTTAAGCAACAGAGCAAATTGTATGTGTCCTGATATGTTCCTTAATCCCTACCATGGTCTAAGAGGTAAGTGTCATAATCATCCCAATGCACAGAAGAGAAATACTGAGTCCAAGGGTAGCTGGATGGCAGGAATAAATTCACACAGCAATTCAAAATGTTCAGTAGACAGGCTAGGATAATTGATTCCAAAGTCCATCCACAAGACCTTCTTGCCTTTTATGTGATGAATTTGGTCTTGCTCCAACTGTGGCCTTTGCCTTCAGCTTTTGATATCATTGTTGATAGGACTGTCTTTAAAGTGGGGATGAAAACACTGGATCTGGGTGGGGCTATCCATGTCCAGTAAAGACTGGCCACACCTTAAGGACTGATCAGAATGAAGGGTTTGGATCTCAGAGTATCAGCTGACCTGGAGATTGAGTTCAACCTCATAGGCACTCAATTTGTCATATCTACATAATGAAACCCTAGAGCTCAGCAAGCTTCTCCAGTTGGCAAGACTCCTTGTGTACTGTCGCATGGCAGTGTTGGGAGGGTAACGTGAAAATACACAAGGAAAGATAGCATTTGGAACCTTCCAGACTCTGTCTTGTGAGTCTCTTCCTTTGGCTGAATTTTGTATGGTTCCTTTTCCTGCAGTAAACCATAAATGTGAAGCTAACAGCTTTTAGTAACTTCTGTTAGTTCTTCTAGAAAATTATCAAAGTTGAGGGTGGTATGGAGCCCTCCTCAATTTGCAGTTGATGTCAGATTCTTTGTTTGTCTTTCCATGAAATCATGCTGCTCTAAATACAGTCAGAGCGGCTATAAGCACTAAGCCATTGAACATCACAGTTCAGCCACCTCCAAGCACCTCTGCCCTAAACCTCAATAGAGGTCACCTTTCCTACTTTCATGTTGTCTGAAGAAAGCTGTACATTCTCCTCCATAAAGTCCATTCCTGGAGCTTACCTATTCTTACTTCTTTTTTTAACCTAGAAGAAGAACATGGCATAAAGAAAAAGGGTACCATTTTTCCTTTAAGAAAACAACCACCTTGAGAAGAAATTAATTTTAAAATATGAACTAACGCTGCTAAATGCAAAGAATCAGTATTATCAATTTTTCCTTCATTAATCAGTTTACTAAATAAATATAAATAAAAACAGAATTAGCCTGTTCTATTATTTGAATTTATTACTTAGAAAGTTGAAAATACTTCTGATGTCTGTTTATAAATATCTGTGAACAAGGCAGATTTTCCGCAACATGTGATCAGCATAATAGCTTCTGATTTTCTGAAGATGATGTATACTTTGTTCATTTATGAGACGCTTCAGCTTATTTTTCTGACACTCTCATGTATGCAAAGTTGAAAGTAATACTAGAATAACATCATGTAAACATTAGCAGATAAAGTGGAGGGAGAGACCAAGGCAAGAAAAATGAGATAGAAATAAAGAAGGACTGTTATCAGTGAAAAAGACAAAAAGGTTAACCTAGCCTGGCAAGACAGTTTGAGATACCTGGGATCAGAACACAGGCTCCCACTCACCTTTTTCCTTTCCATGAAACCACACTGCTCTAAATACAGTGAGAGGCAAAAATTAACCATCAACCTGCTCTTTCCATTTCAGTATTTCCCAATGACACCAGAGTTAACAGCCTATGAGGAACATATCCACCATCTCTGAAATTCAAACCTCCTGAAAACCTTTCAGACTACCAGCCACTGGAGAACCTCCAACGAATCTTAAAACATAAACACAAATTAACAATTATACATCTACAGGTTAGTCTGTGCTTCATGCTCAGAAAAAAACAAAAAACGAAAACACAAAAACCTCTCATTCTTTCTGTCCTGAAATAAAACAGGTATTAGGTGATGCTGGAGTAAAATGTTCCAGTCTCTGGTCAGCAATATAAACTTAAAAAGAATATATTCTCAAGACTTTGTCAATGTAAGAGAAATTATCCAGAATTTTCTTCAAAATGAATGTTGATCCTCAAAAGGAAAGAATCGTAACTGTTCACACAGATATTCAGATCCAGCCAACGGGAGCCTGACTAAAAACCAAAGGGGCCCTCTTGACTAACTTAAATGGATGCAGTGAAACATTAAGACTGAGGCTAAACATTACTTTCTGTGACAGAGGAATTTTTTTGATATGCTAGTATGGCTCCAAAGCCCAACTTTAAGTTTACAACATAAAATAAAGGGTATACAACATTTCCAAACAGAGCTAATAAGTGCAGAAATCCAATCCTAAAGTGTAATTTTTCACCCCAAACACTCACAGGCAACCAGGTATAACTGTCTTTGAATGTAAGTACAAGCTTTAGGGACTCCTAAGATAATGTCACCAAAAGTTTTAACTGCTGCTGACCAATTCTAATGGTCAAATGCTATACAATTTTTATTAAGACTGAGAAGGAGAAATAGACAAGGGATTCTAGGCAGTTGCGATACTTTCACTAAGAAATTTAAAAAAAAAAGAAATTCCTAAAGACAGGTGATACCATCTTTGAAAGTCCTAGGGAAAAAGCAGATCCTATTTTCCCTTGCTGATTTAAACTGTATCCTCATGAGAAAAGAAAGAACAATACATTTTTAAATGAAAAGGATACATTCAAAAAGAGTTACTAAAATGGGAAATGCTACTGAAGGCCAACTTCAAGAAGTAGATCTAGGATGGAATATTCCATGTACTTCCTAGGTATCATGAAAATAGAATGAGGGCCATCCTAGGTGAAAGAAAGTAAGATAATATGGTGCCAAAGAGCTCTGTGTCTAGGCCCTACTGTTTTACTGACAGCACATTTGTTAAAAGATGGAAGCTCTCAAGGGGGCAAGGTCCTGAGTTTGATCCCTGGTACACACACACACACACACACACACACACACACAAAGATGGAAGCTCTTTTAAATTTTAGGATATCATATTCTGGCATTAATGATGTAAAGCGGGGGAATACCAATGAAACAAGGAAAGACCAAAATAAAATTCCATTTATATTATGCTAAAATCAGAGGAAGACAAAGTATGCAATCTTAGAATAATTCATTTCTTTAACAAATACTGAATGCCGAGCCAGAGACTTAGCTCAGTGCTTCTACCACCTGCCTTGCAAGCGTAAGCTCCTGAGTTCAATCCCCAGTACTAAAAACAAACCAAACACTGAATGCCACACATGTGCAGTACATGAAACATGAGCAGTGGCAGACACAGTTGTCCAATCAGTAGCTATGGTTACTCTTCTTCTCTAGTCTCCAGAGCCCACTTTTGCCAGAGAAAATGAAAGGAACTGAGGTATTAGTGTTGCAGAAGGTTTTGCAGCTTTTAGATGAAGAGCAGGGTAGACAGGGGAGATCAGATGAGACCCAATACAGCCAAAGAAGGTACAGTAATTTGCTAGTGTTGTCATAAGAAAGTACCACAAACCAGAATCAGTAAAAGCCAACCTGTGCTGTCTCATAGCCTTGAAATCAAGGTGTCAGAAGGATTGTTTCTTATAGGCTTTGAGGGAAGGATCTGTCCTGGGCTTCTCCCCTTGGCTTATCGACAACCCTCTTCTCCACGTATCTTCCTGTTAGCTTTCTTCAGTGTGTGTCTCTGTATCCAAACTTTCCCTTTTATAAGGACACCAGCCCTAAAGGAGTTCCTGAGGACCTTGTCTTAACTAATGACATCGGCGAGGTTCCAATTTCCAAATGAGGTCACACTTCCTTATGATTAGTACTTCAATATAATGAATTGTAGATTGAGGTGCAACACATTTCCACCCATAACAAAGGGCTGTGAAAAGAGTACTAGGAGTTTCCAGGAAAAGAGCTGTTTTTTTTTTTTAATGAAAGTGAAGGAATTGCTGATCCTGCTTCCCTTCCACTTTGATATGGAAACTGAACAGTAAAGAAGGAGGGATACTGGTGGGAACTTTCACCATCTAGACACCATGAAAGTGAAAAATATACGAACCAATATGAACTTAGTAACTCCAAAGGATATGTGTTAGAAAA